AAAAAAAAAAAAAAAAAGAATGAAGTTTCATTACTTAACCTGCGATTCCTTCTCCTCCTCCTGTCAATTACCTCAATAAAATCTCGTTTAAATTACAGTGTTAAAATTAAAGTGTGCTTCAAATTCTAATTTTAGGTGGGGGTTAAACTTGGTTATATAATTCATTCATTACAATAAAAAATGGTCATTGCTAAATTCTTATCAGTTCCTTATGTCCTCTTAACATTTTATGTTTCTTTTTGTAAACTAGTGAGGAGGTGCTCTCATTTTCTCCCTGGTTCAGAGAAAAGGGCGTCTGAATGTCAGTTCCGAAGGGGTACTGGATGCCGAAAGAATATAAACGCAGGTAGTTAAGACGGCAAACATACGCGATTACCCAACCTCGCGCAGAGATGGCTTCCCCAGCGGGAAGGAGAAGCTGTGTGAATCCTTCGATAGCTCAGTTGGTAGAGCGGAGGACTGTAGTGGAATTTCCTCGGGCATCCTTAGGTCGCTGGTTCGAATCCGGCTCGAAGGAGTTCACGACTGTTTTTTTCGGTCAATTTTGAAATTCACTCTCAGAAAGGCATATTCCGTTTACACTTTTCCTCGATGAGAATTTATTTAAAACTATTCTGGACATGCAGTGAATCTCTAATTTTTTCTTATTCTCCGTAATAGTTTTTAACGCATGATCAAGACTTCATCCCTATAATTCACATAATCCAACCCTCTTAGAAGCCCTGGCCACTGATGAAGTGAGTCCGACACTGGTCCGCTAGGCTAGGGATCCAGAGAGGCGTCTCCACCCCTCAACCCTGGATCCACAGCGGTGGTGAAACGGGGGGCTGGTGGGAATTAGGCGAAGCAACCGGTAATTTGTGGGGCTCGCGCGCCCCCTGGTGTTCAAAGTTCTGAATCGTTGAGACTCGGTTACGTATTAAACCACCAGTAGCTCCCTACAACGTCTGAAGCCGGGATGAAATTCAGGGGGTCTATTCGCCCTTCTTATTTTAATTGTCACGGTGGTGGCTTTCTACCCTAGCTGAGAATATGTGCTTGATTATCAGAATCATTTTAGGAGAAAATAATACGTAAGGGGAAAAATGGACAAAATTTCCTACTAAGGTAGGGAATTAGCTCACAAAGTAGAGATCTGGCATAACGGTGGTATATATTTGCTAATTTTGTGTAAATCTCATTAAAATATATTAATCCTATGGTACCCTTTTGTATCTCAAAAATGTGATCCCAGATACCTATGAAAGAAAATGATTCTCAAACTTGGATATGTATCAGAATAACCTGGAAAACTAAATTAAAACAAAAAAAACCACAGAAGCCTAGGCTTATTGAATTAGGGTAGTGGTTCAAGAGCCCTGCCCAAAACGCATTGGAAGCCACTTCGTTAAGGGCTGCAGATGGGATCTAAACTTGCTTTTTGAAAGCTGATTGAGGGCAAAATCTTTTTTTTTTTTTTTTTTTTTTTTTGAGACGAAATCTCGCCATGTCACCAGGCTGGAGTGCAGTGGCGCTATCTCTGCTCACTGCAACCTTCGCCTCCCGGGTTCAAGCGATTCTCCTGCCTCAGCCTCCGGAGTAGCTGAGATTAACAGGCGTCCGCCACCACGCCTGGCTAATTTTTGTATTTTTATTACAGAAGCGGTTTCATCATTTTGGCCAGGATGGTCTTGATCTCTTGACCTCGTGATTCGTCTGCTTCAGCCTCCATAAGTGCTGGGATTATAGGCATGAGCCACTGCACCCGGCCAAAAAATGATCTTTTCAAAGGTAATGTTTGGGCCTTGAATGCAACATTATTAAGTAGTCCTGGACTAAGCTTCTTGCCAAGGCACAGTGGATTTCAGTCCAGATAGATTCTCTGCCACGAATTCTCCTCCCATATGCCAGCACCGGTAACAGCAGCAGACCCTCAACCCCCACCCTCCGCAAGATATAGCGAGATGACATCAGAAGAGTAAGGGTGAATGTCAAAACAAAACTAAACAAAACAAACCCAAACATACCACATATGCTTTCGCTCTCCACCATCTTATTTTTATTTTATTTTATTTTTTTGAGACAGAGTTTCTCACCTGTTGCCCAGGCTGAAATGCAGTGGCACAATCTCGGCTCACTGCAACCTCCACCTCCCGGGTTCAAGCCATTCTCCTGCTTCAACCTCCCTAGTAGCTGGGACTAAAAGCGCACACCACCACGCCCAGCTAATTTTTGTATTTTTAGTAAAGATGGGGTTTCACCATGTTGGCCAACATGGCCTTGTGAACCGCTTGCCTCGGCCTCCCAAGTGCTGAGATTATAGGAGTGAACCACCATGCCAGGCTCATCCACCATCTTGTTAAGAATTCTAAGAATAAATATGTACTTTTAAAAATCTTTTAAAAATTTGTAATACAGGGCCAGTCGTGGTGGCTCACGCCTATAATACCAGCACTTTAGAAGGCTGAGGCGGGAGGATCACTAGAGGTTTGGAGTTCGAGACCAGCCTGGCCAACACAATGAAAATCCGTCTCTACTAAAAATAAGCCCGGTATGGTGGGGCACAGCTCTAATCTCAACTACCGGGGAGGCTGAGGCACAAGAATCGCTTGAACCCTGGAGGCAGAGGTTGCAGTGAGTCGAGATCGTACCATTGCAAAGTCAGCCTGTCTCAAAAAAAAAAAAAAGAAAAAAAAAAGGAAAGAAAAGAAAACCAAAACAAATGGTTATACGTCCTCAGCCTGCTCTGAGAAAAATGTAATACACAAATGATCAAAGTGTATAATAGGTATGCATTAATGCACCTGGAGAGGACCAACATACAGAACTGAAAACAGTGAGAGGAATTCCAAATAACCGCCCGGTCTACCACAAAACAGTCTGAGGACGAGGGAACCACAGAGTAGATGGGTCTTCTTGGGTGGTGAGGGAAAGCCGGGCTTAGGGTTCTTGAAGGTGAGACCACCCCCATCATGATATGGTAGCGTGTTAGCCGCTTTTGTGTCAGCGAGGTATTTATGGAAAGATAGGAGTAAAGGCCAAGGTGTAAAGTGGGAGAGGAAACTACATAAAACTGGAGAATGCGGGTATCGATCCCGCTACCTCTCGCATGCTAAGCGAGCGCTCTACCATTTGAGCTAATTCCCCTCCCACATAAGCGTTTTTCCATCCTTTACCCTCTTTGATATCTGGAAGAAATTCAGGACTCGCTGCTATCAGCTAATAGGAAAAAAAAAAAGAACTGTAGATCGATGGTGACTAAAGAGCCTCAGCATGACTTCCGCCGCTCAGGCTGTCTTTAACCTGTTCTGCTGTGTCGGATCCCATCGGGAGAAGACCACAACGTGCAGGTGAACCAGTGAGCCCGAGTCCACAGAAACAGCTGTCTTGCGGGTGGGGGAAGAGTTTAACACCGGAATCACATCTGCGGAAACCGGGACCTGGCGGCAAATTGAGGATGCACCCAGAAGGGAAAAATCAAGTTTATTAAGCAATGAGGTTCGGCCTTGGCCTACTCAGCAGTTTCTACCACACTCCGCACCCCTGAAATTTCTGCCTGTTGGCTGGGCGCGGTGGCTGACGCCTGTACTCCCAACACCTTGGAAGGCCGAGGCGGGCGGATCACTAGATCTGGAAATTGAGACCATCCTGGCCAACATGGTGAAACCCCGTCTCTACTAAAAACACAAATATTAGTTGGGAGTGGTGGCACGTGCCTGTAATTGCAGCTACTCGGGAGGCTGAGGCAAGAGAATCACTTGAACCCGGGAGGCAGAGGGTGCAGTGAGCCGAGATCGCAGCACTGCACTCCAGCTTGGCGACAAGGCAAGACTGTCTCAAAGAAAAAAAGAAAAGAAAAAAAATCCCCCTAGTCATCTGGTTCTAGAAACAGATTATCCAGCGTCTCTAAGGATCTACGAATGTCCCTTAAGTCAGGCGCGTTGGTTCACACCTGTAATCTCAGCACCTTGGGAGGCCGAGGCGGCTGGATCACTTGAGGTTAGGAATTCGAAACCAGCCTACCAATATGGTGAAACCCGGTCTCTACTAAAAATACAAAAAAATTAGCCGGGCGTGGTGGCGTGCGCCTGTAATCCCAGCTGCTCTGGAGGCTGAAGCAGGAGAATCGCTTGAACCCAGGAGGCGGAGGTTCCAATGAGTTGAGATGGCGCCGCTCCACTCCAGCCTGGGCTACCGAAGTAGGGCTCCTTCTCAATAAGAACAGCAGCAACAGCAACAACAACAAAAAGAATCCGCCTTTTGTCTGACTTTGTCACTGCCGGAGGACCTGTAGCCACGAGGGGGCGTGCGTCCCATTTGATTTCTCTATTTTGGCTTCTGTAGTCCTGATTTCGATCAAGGGGTGTACTAATTATTTTTTATTTTATTTTATTTTTTTACTAATTATTTTTCTAAGGTAAATATTAGGAAGAGAAGCGAATATACCTATGGTTACTTAAAGGTGGAGTCTTTGCACAAAGACAAATGCTTTAGATGCCACTTTTTCTTCTGGGCCTGTTGAGTACCAGGTACTGTGTCCGGTGCTAGGTGCTAAGTACTTTTCAGCAGAAGTTAGTTGAGAAGAGGAGGATCCGTTGGCCCATAATCTCAGGAAAGCCATAGGAAGGCCCTGCACCTTCAACTGCTTCTTTTCCAGAAATCCCATCATTAGAAACTTCCTCTTTTTATTTTCTAGTCTCAATGAAATTGGGGCAAGATGCTACCAACTGAAAGTGGAGAAGACAAAATATCTTATTTAAGAAGGTGACTATGCTGCACAGGGCATAGTAGGTCTTTTGAAGACCTTTAGACAGCCTTAAAGATTTGTTCTTCTCTTTTGCTTTTTCATTCCAATTAGGGGTGACAAAACGTGGTTCACTCTGTGGGAAGAAGACCTCCCAATTTCCTGCCCCCAGCATTTTAGACAAGAGAGTTCAAAACTCAGATGTTAGCCAGGAGCAGTGGCTCACGCCTGTAAATCCCAGCAATTTGGGAGGCTGAGGCTGCTGGATCACTTGAGGTCAGGAGTTCGAGAACAACCTGACCAACAAGGTGAAACCCTGTCTCTACTAAAAATACAAAAATCAGCTGTGAGCAGTGGCAGATGCCGGTAATCTCAGCTACTTGAGAGGTTGAGGCAAGAGAATCGCTTGAACCTGGGAGGCGGAGGTTGCAGTGAGCAGAGATTGCACCACTGCTCTCCAGCCTGGGCAACACAGCGAGACTGGCTCAAAAACCAACAAACAAAAAACCGACTCACATGTTATACCTGTGTGTAGAAACCCACCATTCCTCTCGCAACTTGGCTCAAAGTCAGCCTTGCTTTGAAGTTCATGCCACCTAGGTGTTTTCTCCTTATTCGATCCTGGACAGAATTTTCTTTTTCCTTTTTCTTAGGTTTTCACTATTTATGACAAATATTCTACATTCGTGATTCTCTCCAGTCAAAAGTTCTTTGAGACGATGCCATCGGCCTTGGACAATCGGAGAATGGAATCATCTGACTCACCCATCCTACCAATGGCCCCGCAGAGGGCATAAGTTTTAAACTGGCCGTTAAACCTGGCTGTGACCTTATGAACCCCGGCCACGTTCATCTGGATGGATGTGTGGTCCTGGGCACCGACGATGCGGTTGCTAGCGGAGCATGTCCGCGGCAGGTGCAGGTCCACGAGCTCCCCGGCGTCGCTCTGCGTCTCGAGGCCTCTCCTGCTGCCACCACACCGCACGTGAGCCTTCTCTGTTTATTTTCTATGACTTTGTTAGGAGTGCAGGTGTGGAAATGAGGTGAAAGAAAATTAGCCCAATCCCATAGTTCAGATGCATGCGTTGTATGTTGCCATGACTGTAAACTGGGAGCAATTGGTTTGCCTGGGCCTTTTGAATTGGGAGTTCTGGTTTCCAGCAACATTGGATTAGGTATTAAATTTTACAGCTTCTTAGTTACCACAGAAGTAAATTAAGATCAAGAAGCCCTATCTCTATTAAAAAATACAAAAATTAGACAGGCATGGTAGCATGTGCCTTTAGTAGTCCCAGCTAGTAGGGAAGCTGAGGTGGATGGATCACCTGAGGAGGGCGGATCACCTGAGGAGCCTGAAGGTGTGGAACTGTAATCATGCACTCCAGCCTGGGTGACAGAGAAAAAAAAAAAAAAAAAAAGCCTTAAAGTTCACATGGAAGTTTTAGCAGTTGTTAGCAAACCATTGAGTCTCAACTCCAAACAACTCTCAACTGCTATGGACTGAACTGTGTTTCCTTAAAATTCTGTGTTGAGGCGGGGTGCAGTGGCTCACACTTGTAATGGCAGCCCTTTGGGAGCCTGTGGTGGGAGGATCACTTGAGGTCAGAAGTTCCAGAGCAGCCTGACCAACATGGAGAAACCCCCAGTCTCTACTAAAAATAATAATAATAAAAATTATCTGGGCGTGATGTCGCATTACTGAAATCCCACTTACTCGGGAGGCTGAGGCAGGAGAATTGCTTGAACCCGGAAGGTGGAGGTTGCAGTGAGCCGAGATCAGGCCATTGCACTCCAGCCTGGGCAACAAGAGTGCAACTCCGTCTCAAAAAGGAAAAAAAGCCAGGCGCGGTGGCTCAAGCCTGTAATCCCAGCACTTTGGGAGGCCGAGGCGGGTGGATCACGAGGTCAAGAGATCAAGACCATCCTGGTCAACATGGTGAAACCCCGTCTCTAC